GAGAGAGAGAGAGAGAGAGAGAGAGAGAGAGAGAGAGAGAGAGAGAGAGAGAGAGAGAGAGAGAGAGAGCCTGCCGATATGAGCGGAAGCATGAGAGGAAGAGTATACAGTACTATAAAGTTATAAACGCAATAGAGTGAACGAAGGAAGCAACGAACCGAGATGTGGAACGGTGGCGTTATGGACGGATGAGGAGGAGGAGGAGGAAGAGGAGGAGGAGGAAGAGGAGGGGATGATTCGGGAGTGATATTTGATTCTGAGGATGGAATTCTGACTACAAGGTGACCTGAGTTCGAATTCTGACGATGGAATCAGATGAATGACATTAGTCTGACTTTACGTGCGGCTGGCCAGTTTGATGATGATACCTCACTGCTGTTGCACTCTTTGTATTTGATTTTTTTCAGAAGATAAATGAGTGCAGATGGATATATATTCTAAGATAGGGAAAATAGGTGAATCAGGACGGTCCTTCGGGACGGGACGAAGGGTGGGTAGGTCTGGAATTCCATAGCGGCCATTCATATGAAAAAAAAAATTCTTGCCTTCCCTTTTTTTCATAATATCTCCTTGAGGGGATATGGGGCGGACCGCTCTCTGCTGCTGTGCAACGTAGAGGCAACATTGGAAAGGCCAAGTAAGCAAGCTTACCCATTAGAGATGTGGTGGTGGTCCAAGGAAAAAGAAAACCAAAATTGCATCTGTATCCCTTTTAAAGATGGTAATTCCTGCTACACCCGGTTGCAGCGCTCAATTTGCATCTACCCAGACCCTATCCAACTTAAACAACCAGTACTTCCGAAATGTGCAGCTATCCGTGCACGTGTCAGGCAGTGCTGCGATTCAATAGGAATGAATTTATCCATGCGTGGCAGGCCCGTTCATCCCAGCGCATCTGGAGCATGCACGGCTGCACTTTGGGGAAGTACTGGTGCTTTAGATGACCAGTACCTTTCCCAGCTATTGATGCTGACCCTAAAATTGCCCTACACGCCAAAGAAAAAAGGAACCGGCACGGGCCTCATTTTGGCTGGCACTGCCAGTCATTTCGGTCCAGCACCCAGACCTCCGAAAGACGCAGCCGCATGCCGCTGCGAATTTGTTTGTCAAACGGGGAAAGGTACTGGTGGTTTAAGGTAATAGCCAGAAACCGGGGAGGCAAAATTAGGTGTGCGCATAATCTGCCTGGATATGTGCATAATTTGAGCATTCCAGTAGTTGGGTATAACTGCAATTTGGCAGTACCAACCTTGACCCGCCTCGATCCCGGGTATTCAAATAATTTGCACAGGCCATTTTCCGGGTACAGATGTGCAAGGAAAATAAGCAACAGCGAGATGACAATTCCAGATTACACCATCACATTAAAAGCCAGATAGTCACACTGTGTCCAGAGAGCAGCATTGGACCAATAATACACCAATGGAGGTTCGTAGTACTGAAAACCAATGTCATGGAGAGCTTTCTCTCTCCTTCAGCAACACAAGAGTCCAGTCCCTTCTCACTCCTACTTGGCGCTCAGCGCCCAGCCTACTCCTACACAGCTACGATCAGCCTAATAATAGACAATGCAACTGTTGACATCAGCGGCAACCCGAAGTACTTGAAGATGTCACCCATATGCTGACCATCGCCAATACAAGGTAAGTGCCCTCACATCATCATCATCATCATCCTTCGCCCTTCCTTGACTTAACACCCACACCTGTCCTCTCTTGCACCCGAAGACCACCCCTGCGCCTCACTGTGTATCCAAGCCGAGTCCGCTATGGAGGCTGGCTATGGCGCTGCCCTCAGCAGCGCCCTGCTCCCACACACGACCGCACGTGCGCAGCCTCTTGCTCCAATGCCGGCAGCCAGCCCGCGAGCAATTGCTCCAGCAGCGCTGCCGCCAGCCAGCAAGTGACCGAATGAGGCTGCCTGGCGAGAACTCTTTCCTTTATGGAAAGAGCTGGTCTGCTCGAGCAGCCTGGCTGCACTGGCCTGGGCCCAGAAGCTTCCGGAAGGCCCCAGGAGGCTGCCTGTGTACAGCAGCTACTGGGCTGCTGGGCCTCGTTCGGTTGGGCGCCCAACTGTCTCTGTATGAGGCTGCGAATCACGCCCAGGGCCTGCATTCTTTGGAAAGGCCCGGAGGGCCGTGGAAATGTCTTTGTTGCTCGGCCTGTGTTTCTCTCAACCAACTGGCGCGTCGCAACTGCCTGTACCCCCAAATATGAAATTGACAGTCGTAGGCCTCTTGTGAAATGTTAGGCCKGCCTTCACTTAGGGCGGGCACCTCCGCCTTCACTTAGGGCGGGCAGTGCTGCAAACAGGGCCCCTTGGGCCTACCGAGGACCCTGATCCTCGCAGATGCAAGTTGGCCGCTGGGACTGGCTATAGCATGTATCTCCGTTCTTAAATGGGGTACAGATGAAGATCCCCCCCCCCAAAAAAAAGGGACTCTGGGCCTGTTGTCCGGCTGTGCTGCAACCCACAAATGGATAGGAGCCATCAATACAGAAAAGAAAGCAAATGTGGTCAGAAACTGAACATTGAAAAAACAAAAAAAAGTAAAAAAAACTGCGAAAAAGATAACCAGTTGTTTCCTGCTCTCCATCTATTGGCGGGGAGCTACACCTGCTGGAAACTGGGTCCAGCGTCCCTTACGTCATGAAAGTTTACAAGAGGATGGAGGAACAAATTTCAGTGGTCCCTATG